GGTGCGACCTAACCGAATGCCATGCACGGTACGTGCATCCTCGTGCATCGAGATAAGCTTATTAAGAGGACTGGCTTTCGTACCCAGAAGATAAATGCAACCGCGTTACTCAGATGGAATTCATAGATAACCGGCCATTTTTATAGAAAATAAAAGCTGAGCTGAACAAAGAGGTGCGAACATGCTTTTTCAGTTTACATTCTCACTACGCTGTTGCATGTAGTAATTAATTTTGCTGTACAATTGATTAGAATCGTGTACGATTGTGTCTAATTAATTCATAAAGCTGTGGATTCAATTATAGCGAGGCATTATTTTCAAACGCGGTATGCTCCTCGTAATTACAAAAAATCGTATGCAAGTGAAGGAAATTCGTCCCCGCGGTTGTATTCTGCCGATTCATCGGGAAACCAATCATCGTACGCATTTAGCGAAGCGTCACCGTCGCGTTTATTAGAATCATAATTTACACTGAAACGAAGGATGAAACGGCGGATTACGACCGGCGGCTGTTCGTTTTCGATCCGCGCATCCGGTGCACAGCGGGTCTGGAAATAAATCACGGAAACTGAAATGTCAAAGTGCTACCGAGCCGACCGGCTAGCCTACAGCCTGTCTCCCGTTTGCAACGCCCGTGACAACAATGGCGATTCCTTTGCGTCACCCGAGAAATCACTCCCCGGCCAGAGATTGTCGTGCCGTAATGGCCGTTGTAATCGTCTCGTGTAAGCCGCGAGGCGCACTCCCCGAATCGATTATAGTAATCTTATTGTCGCTCCCAGCGATTTTTCGACTCTCTTACAACCAGTGCAGAGAATCATGCGACTTTGTCAAATAGAATTATAGTTGATTGATACAGAATTAAATTACAATCCTGTTTACTGTTGTGTAAAATCAAATAGTTACAATATTTATTAAGGTTGCATGAGCTGTAAAATCTTTGCAAAAAGTTCGAGACGTGTAATAAAAAGTTGTGTCCAATATTTGAAGCAATAAAATTTTACTGTTCGATTTTTACATTTAAAAAAAAAGTAAAATTTTGTAGTGTTTTATTAATGTAACATCTAATACAAATTTCAATACTTTGTCATTGCTTCTATGTAACACTTCATACATCCTCAAAGACGGACGTATCTTTTTCACTCACCGAACGTCATATCATAAAGTGGTACTAATCAATTTCCACCCTCTGTCCAATGGAAAGACTAGCTCGTCAAATGGGAATAATTGCAACAGTTACCCGGAGGCAGTCAAGGATGCTCATATTTCTATCCCCCGCAGTGATGGATAATGGGCCGATGTTAAAATCCGGCGTCCATTGAATAATGTGGCACACGGCCGTGGATGCGGCTTAACGACGTCGCCGCACGTCGATTGCCACATCGCTCGGCGCGCGAAATACACGCGAGTTACGGCTTAATCAGTTTCACCGCGTTCGGAAATTGCTCTGTGCAAATTCCATCGACGCGAAATCGCCCCCGCGCTCGCCGCTTTCATAATCCCGTTCGCGAAACCCGAGGACTACGTGACTCCGGCGGCGGTTCGGCCGCTTTTTACGTTTCGTAGAAAATTGGCCTGCAATTTGGGGGGGCGCGGCCGAGCCGATTATTGGTTATTAGGTTAAATTAACCAGTCGGGTAATTGTACGAAATACAATTATTGTACGAAAAGTAATTTCTGTTTATCTTTCGACTAGACCGTGGATTTTAAACATAACATTTAGGCTAATATTTGAAAAAAATGAATTTTACATAGGAACTCGTTTTGAATATTCCTGTTCATAAGCTATCGATACTCTCTGTATTTTTAATGAAATTCTCTGCTTATAAATAAACCGTCTGGATCTAAAAAATTGAATACATTTGTCGAATGACGTCGACATTGAGACGGAAGAATAGAAGAACAGAACTACTGTAACTCGATTAACTTGCATAGTGATTAAACTGCAAATATATGCTGTGAGAAAAAAATTGTTACTACTTACAAAGTATACTTATAAGCGTCGTGATAGAGGTCTAATTAAATGGTAAAGTAGCATTAACTGAACTAAACAGTCCTGTACGTGGCGATAATTTATACTCCCAACGGCCCGGCGACCTTTAGACAATCTTGTAATTGCGAGCAAGCGTTTTACAGCTTCCATAAACGGAAGATCTCCGATTTTCTCGTTCAATTTCATAATACAGACATGATCAACGATCTTTTTTTTTCTCTCGGCCAAACCGATTATCCCGTTTGAGATTAATTAATTTACCAAGTTCCTAGATATATTTCAAAGCTAACACCAATGAAGCAACGTGTGATATTTCAAAGCGAAGTTTCATAACGAAACCGGCTCTCTTAATTTTTGTTCAATAAATCCTGCTTGACCGATTACGCGACTCGCTACATAAAAATAAGACATTGAAATTCTGCAACGTCCCGTAATCCGAAAAGAAGAGGGTTATAATCTCTCACCCACATGAACCCTGCTGCGTATCCAAAAAACTCGCGAGAAACAAAGTGCTCGGGCCAGGGTCGAAGGTCGCGGCGATTCCGGTACCCGCAGAAACACGAGACTCTCTCCGGTTTTATTTATACGTTGCCCTGCGACCCCGGGGGTTTCGACAGCAACGGCAAAAAGCGCTAATGCCTGGCCGATGGAGCGGAATCGAGACACGTCGAGCCAGCCGCCTATTAACCAACTATCGGCGACACCGGCTTTAATAACGCTCGCCCGTCGATGGTTATTGGCTGGTCTAATCGCGGCGATCGTGATCGTGCACCGGTGCGCGAGCATAATCGATTAAGATACAGCGATTAATTCAGTTATCACGGAGAAAACCGATACGTATAGCAGTCGGGGGACTCGCATTGAAAATATAATAGATATATAAAAAGGCAAATTAATTAGCGATCGGGATCTTATCTGTCACTGTTCGCTTGTACAGAAAATTCACATAACGAAGGAAATATGTGCTGTTTATTTCAAATATGGAGTACAAATAGGTTTAACGTATGATCGATGATTCACGAACTTCAGTCGGGATAGACTGAATTTTTTAATCTACATTCTAACACGCGGGAACATCGACTTTTCCTTCGCTCGCAAACTCGACAAACCGCTCGGTTTCCTCCTTCGCGAGCCCCGCCGCTTTTTGCGGCCAGTCATTAACTACATTGTGGCCAGGTTTTCGACGCGCGGCGAGGGAAAGTCTCCTTACTAGGAATCCCGGGAGCGGTACGCTGAAATCGTAAATCGAAGAAGAAGTCGCGGAACAGTCCGCGGCGCTCGCAACTTTCTCGCTCACGATTAGTTCCTATTCCAAAGTTGATCAAAGGAATCCATTTTTTAAACATTCCACCGCTCTCAAACTACTTGACAATCGACATTAAAGGAGTGTAGGAAAAAGAGTACAATTATAGGTAAGCTTCTAATCGAACGATTAAACTGGTTGCTTGCAACAATTTTACGGTAGTTCCAAATGAAGATTATGACAGCTAAAGGGTCAATTAGGTTCGCTGTTCAATATTCGAGGTGGATGGGGAAAAAATTTGCAAGGAGCAAAAAGGTTCGTCGACCTAAACGACCTAATTCCTTGTATACTTTAACGCGCCGAGTTATTAGCACATTGACCCGCGGTATGTAACAGTAAGTTATGTTAATTCCATTCTAAACATGGATATTTAGGTAAAATGCATTCGAAGCTAGCCACCGCCGCGCGCAACTTGAAATTTTTTATTTCAACATCAAATAGAAAATTTCTGTAACTACGTTTAACACTTCTTTCAATCTATAATGTAATTATTAACTCCCACTGTATCCTGTTATTTAGTAATCGAACCAATGAATATTTGATCAAACTAGAATATTATAAGTTAATAATCATATTTTCAAGTGACGTAATTTGTCTGGAACGCGATCACACTCCACGTTGACGTAATGGTATTATTAG